GCTCCCTCCCAGACCCACCTCCCTGGGACTTGTTCCCCTCAAAAGTTCCTCTTCCACATCCCACCTCTCAGCATCCACCCCAACCCGACCACAGGGTGCCGCCTGCAAACCAGTCTAGTCTCTACTGGGGGAGGTACCTAATGCAGGCCTCCCAGACCAACACAGAGGGAACTGCCTGGTGCCTAGCCCCTGAGACAGCACCAAGGGACCCCCCCCACACAACCTCTGCCCCTCTTCTGCCACCATTGCTTGTGCTCTCCCAGGCCACCCACCGTTCTGCCAGATAAAGACATTGGGCTGCAGGGTGTCAGGGTCCACAGTGGTGACAGCCACCAGCACGTCCCGAAGAGTGGTGCTTCTAATTTCTGCAATTTCCTCTGGAGAGAAGAGCCTAAGTTGGGGAAAGCCAGAAATTGTTTGGGATGAGAAGGGGTCACAGGTCTCCAGCAAACTCGGGCCTGGGGACCCAGATGAGAAAAATAGACCCAGAGGTGTTGGAGGGGGAGTTGTGGGCCAGCTGGGAGTCAAGGGCCCATGGGGGCCATTCACAGGCAGAGAGTCTGGGGTCCAGGCCAAGACAGAGTCTGAGGCAGGAGTCAGGCAGGCCTTACCCATTCCTGCTGTTCTCAAACCAGTAGCGGTCGCCATCCCGCAGTCGCACAAACTGATCAAGGACGATGGTGCTGAAGAGGGGTCCAGGGTCCCCGTGGCTCTCCAGGAGCCCCCCTGGGAGTAACTCCAGCCGGGACAGATCCTGGTTGTACAGGGCTGCCGTGGCCTCCAGCACCTGGGGCACCACAGGAGGTGAGGGGTGTGTGAGTATACGTGTGTGGTTTTGTGTTGGGAGGGCGGCCACTACTGCCCCATCCCTCAAACATGGGACCCCATCCGCAGCCTGGCTTGCAGCTCAGCCCTGAGGGAGTCTCCTCTTTCTAGGCAGCCCCCTCAGGTGGTGACAAGTCTGGTGGGAGGACCAGTGTATCACCACCCAGACTGCCTGTCTCCAGTGACCAGCGGCTTCAGGGCCACCCATCTCATGGGGAGAGACCCTGCAGGAATAGGACAATGGCTCCCCACCCAGGGCTCACTCTGCAGAAATGGTACAGAGTAGCGGTGAGGATACTCTGGAATCAGATGCCTGAATTTGAGTCCTGCCTCTGAGATGGACTTAACAATTATGTCATCGGTAAAACGGGGACAATGACAGTGTCTACTCTATAATGTCCTTCACACAGATTAAATGTGTTACACGTGTAAAGGACTTAGTATCACCTCAAGAAAGCTTTAGTTGCCATTATTATCATCACTATTTCTGACCTGAGGGTCCACCTTGGGGTTGAGATCACTCCAGTTCCTCGGGGTCTTCAGCCCCAAGGCCTGCAGAGCTTGGGTATAGCTGGGCAGCCCCATATCTCGGCCACGTTGGATGCTGCTGGCCACGTAGTCAGTGCGAGAGAACTTGCCAGGGCCAGGCCAGTAATCTAAGGAGGAGAGAGGACCCCGCTCTAGGCTCAGTCCACCTAACCCTTCTTTACCCAGCAGCCTTGAATTGGGTTGTTGGCATCACCCATATCCAGCACATGTCAATGTCACCATGTGTGACCAGGGGCAATTTTTCTGGCAAAACTCTTCCCCTAAGACTCAGGATGGTTCTAGTCACCAAATTCCCTGTCCCGCCTCCTTAACTTCAAGATGGAGCTGGACAAAAACTTGAAGAGGCCTAAGTGCCAGAGATTGTGGTACCCCCTACATACTCAGATGTAGGTAGTTTAGAATAGTTATTTTCCTCTAATTTTTTCTAATGGCTGTTTGCTCTGTGTGTGTTCCTACACTATAGGCATCCTAGGCCTACCTGCTGACTATCCAGAAGGGTCCCCAGGCTCACAGACCGCTGTGCCCTCATCCCCTCTTCTTCCAGGGCTTACCCCTCAGATCTTCCACCACAGTACTGTCTTCCAGCTCTGAGATCTGGGAGGCCATTCCCAGCAGCAGCTGATTCACTGCCTGAGCGCTGTTCAGATTGGGATTCTAGAAAGAAACAGCACACTCAAGGTCTGTCCTCAGGCTCCTCCCTAGAGTGGAGTCCCTCTCACCCAGACCACTGCAGCATCCCAGGACAAAGGGCCCTGGGCCAGTCCTAGACCGTGTTGAGCTGCTGTCCCCAGATAATTTTCTGATCACTCTACCTTCATCTCCCACCACCCTGAGGCAGCAACACTTGTGAACTGGAATTGTTGCTTTTCCCAGCCTGTGTGACAAGACTGACCTTGACCCACCTTCCCTTGTCCCTGACCCCAGGCTGACCTCCCGAATCCAGTAGCTGTTGCAGACTCTGAGAGCTGGGGAGCTGCCAAAACCCTCGTTCAGGACCATCTGGAAATGACAGCTGGCATTTCTGAAATGGGGAATCAAGGATGCAGTAAAAGAATTCAAGGAGGCTGGGGTGGGGCTGATGTGGGGTGAGGCATTCAGAGGGCATTTGGTGAGTACTAAGGGGTGTCCTCTGAACTTCCTTGACTGCGGCAGGGATTTGGCAATCAGCATGGACTGAAGGTAGAGGTTGCTCTTTGTCCACACAGGGTAGGAAGGGAAGGAGGGAAGAGAGTGACACAGCTGCTGGACAAATCCTGCTCTCAGCAACAAAAGTTCAGCTGTTAGGAGGAAATGAGGAAACCTCCCTGTTAAGACTGGACTCCTACCCCAGGGTTCTGTTTCAGGGTACCAAATTCTGCTTCTCTTTCCCCATGAAACTGTGGGGGTGGGGTGTATGAAAGGTCCCGGGCCCCAAGGCCACTGAATCTTCACCTCTGCCAGTGTGCTGCTCAGCCAGACCCTCCCTCACCTCATATAGACGCCAGGGGGCACCATGGTGGAGAAGAACTGCTCAGAAGCAGCCAGGAACTCCGGGGAGATGCTGGGGTCCAGGAAAGGGCGATACTCTGTCCACAAGGGTAATGAGAAAAACAGGCTCCTTACTCTCACATACTATCATCACACGACGCTATCAGTCTTCTTTGTCCTATGGATCTTAATCACCCCCCTTCCCAAGCCCCCTCAACCCAAGTGTTCCTCACCTGTGTAATTTGGAGGTGTTTGATGCAGGAAGCTGGGCAGCCACTCATACATGGCGATGTTCTGAGGGTCAAGAGAGGGGAAAGGGGAGGCCAGCGCTGGAACAGCCAGGCCAAGAGGGACTTGAGCTCAAGGAAGGTTTAAGTGGGAGTTAAGGACCAGGCAGGGGCAGTCACGGGAGAGACTCTCAGACAGAAGAGGTGCGGAGGTTCCTGTTCCCCACAAGCAACCAGGGCAAGCGGGTGGGGAGCGGGTTGCGAAATAATAATCACTAGAAAACCTCCTGCAGGAGCAGCGCTTTGCCTATCACCCTCAGGGGCTTTTCCTAGACGGCAGCTCTCTGGGGAGGGGAGTGGTGGTTCCTGGCGGGGTCGTCCAGGACCAAGGGCTCTGGAGTCTCCTGGGGACCAGGCCGTGGGGGACCCACCTGGTAGGTGGCGATGACCCTCTTGCGCGCGTGCTGAAACAGCTCCTCGTCCCCCCAGAGCGGATGCCGGCGGGCCAGCCTCTGCGCCCACAGGTTGTGATAGCGGAACCAGAGCAGACCCAGCGCCTGCAGGAAGGGCTCGCGGTTCCCTCGCTCGGCCCCGAAGGCTGCACGCACCGCGGGGACGCAGGGAGGAGATGAGCGCGGGCTGGACCGCCGGGCGCCCCTCGCCGTCCCCCGCCCGCACCTCGCCCGGCCCCCGCCGCCTCACCGTACAGCCCCCGCGGCCCGCGGCGGCCCGTGGTGGGATCCGGCGGTGTCCACATGAGCAGCGGGGCCTGCGCGGCCCGCGGGAAGGCGGGGTCGGGCCCCGACGCCAGCTGCCCCCCGGAGAAGCTCCGCAGCTCGTCGCTCCAGGAGTGCGAGGAGCCGTAGATGGCGCTGCCGTCCAGCCAGCCGGTCGCCTCGTTGGTCTGCGGGGACGGCGGGAGGCTGAGCCGGGGGTCGGGCGGCCAGGCGGGTCCGGGAGGGCTGAGGGCCCGCGGGTGTCGTGGGGGCGGCGGGATGGGATCGTCAGCCCCCCATCCCCGCCTGCCGCGCTCACCAGGTCCCGGGGGTTGCTGGGGCTCTGTCCGGTCTCGGGGTCCCAGCGACTCCTCTGGAAGGGCAGGACCACGTCCCCGCTCCGGTCGCGGTCGAACACCGGGTCTCCGGGCGGGATGTGGATGTTGAGGAACTCGGCTGGGCAGCCAGACTTTTCCACGCTCACCAGGTCCGACAGCACGTGGTAGCCTGCCGGCGTGGTGTTCAATCTGGTAAGAATTGCTATTCCCCACCGCCCGGGAGCCTAAAGACAGATGTTCCAATTCAAGCGCCGCGCCACCAGCTCTAAAACTTTCTTCTAAACTGTAAAGTGGGGTTATAGTACCCTCCTCGCCCACCCCCATCACGTCGTGGTGAGAATCAAAATAATACAATAAATGTAAGGGCTCCCTGGAGCCAGTCCCCATCTCCTAACAGATCGTGCCTCCCCCTCCCTCTCCGGAGGTAAAGAAGTTAATCCTCACAATGGGAGGAGAGGGGCGGCAGGGGACCTACCTCCAAGGAGCTACAGGGAAGGCTAGTGGCACTCCTGGGTTTGGAGTAAGGGTAAGAGAAAGATTAGGAGAGCAAAATACCCGCTGGTTAACACCCTCAAATCCGTCCAAGACGAACAAAGGCTCCAAGTGTAGCCTGAGAGGATGGGTTGGGGGGCGGTGAGGACGTGGTTCGAAGGACGTGGATCGGTGTCCTGTGGACTTGCAAAGCGGCCTCAGGGCCCCTCTCCCTAGGCGCTGAGCTAAGCGCCTGGTCAACCCTCACTAGAACTGTTCTTCCATTTGCCCTCACCGAAGAAGAGCCCCAGGACCGTGCGATTGCGGCCGGACGGCCTCCCGGCGCTTCCCTGCGTGGTGGCGTTGCTGAGTCGGCGCGGGTTGGGCAGCAGCGGCTCCCCGAGAGCCTGATACACGCCATCCGCGTAGTTGGCCGGTACGAGGCGCTGCAGTCGGGAGCCTGTGCGAAGCAGGGAGCCGGGCTCCGTCAGAGCACGCAGTTCCCAACAAGCCCTTGAACCTCGCCTTACACCTCCCTCCAACCCCCACTCCCACCGACGAGACCCCTTCTTCAGTCTTCAGGTGTGTATAGGAGCTGGCCGCTCAGGCAGCGGGGCGGCTGTCTGGCGCGCTCCCTGCCCGCCAGCTTCTCCGCGCCGGGTCTCCCTCACCCCTGCCTTCCATTAGCCATTCTCCACCCCAGGCCGCAGGACGCACCCGCAGCGCCACGCTCGTGGTGCCTCAGATTGTTGAACCAGCCGTCATAGCGCTGCACTTCCCAGGTCAGTGAGAGTGAGTCTTGGCCACCTGTGGGTCAGAGAGTGGTCCGCTCACTGGTAGCTTCCTTGCGACCCCTGGGGGACCCGATGGCCTCGGTCTGCGTCTCCAACCAGCCGAGGGCCCCCAACCCGACCCAAGTGGTGATGCTCGCGCGGGGAAGTTTCCCATCTCGCTGAGCCGCGCAGCGATCTCACCACATCTTCCAGCCCCAGGAAGCCTCTTGCCTGCACCAATCCCTTCCCCAACTTCTAAGGGAACTAGTGCTTGGTACTTACCCGTTGGATCCAGGAGTAGAGTCAGCAGAACTCCCAGGAGCTCCAGTACCTCTGGCCTTGCGCGGAGCATATTGACCCTGCGACCAGCGGGGTGGGAGGTGGTACATGAGGAATACAGAGCCAGCCTCCCCCACCGCCGGCAGTTGGCGCGAGCTGTGTCCACCCCCATTTCTGGAGCGAAGCTTTTAGATGTCTCGCCAAGGACCCACACCCACAGGGCACTTTTTAAAGGGCACAAGCCTCTCATATCCCTCAGTGAATACCTGTCCATGGACACTGAGGGATGGGAAGATCAAGTCCCATGTACCAGTCCAACCTCTGGCTTAGGGACACCGTCCGGGTCAGAAGTCTTTTTCTTGGAATCTTTGCCTCTCTGCTCTGCTCCCTGCCTCTACCCACTGCCTCCCTCCCTCCTCAGCTCCGCAGATCCTCAGCCTCCGCCGGCTTCACTCTCACCCTCCTCTCTGCATCCTCTGAGGCCGGCTGTGCAGACGTTCCACTTAGGCTAGACCAGCGCCAGATGTGAGCATCTGGACCTGGCCGCTCCCTCTTGCTAGGCGGGTGGGGCTCGTCTCATTTGCATAATGACCTCAACTTCTTATTTGCATGATCTTTTCCCTCCTGGACCCAGCTGCAAAGTCCCGACCGCTCTCTGCGCTCGGCCCACGCTGCTATAAAAGGGGTTTCAGGTCCAATGCGACTTCCAAACGCAGAGTGAACCCTCAGAGCCCGCTCTCCCACTTACCTAACTCGGTCTCGGCCAATCCAGAGCGCCTGAGGGCAGTTAGCTGCTGGCTTCCTTAAAGGTGAGCCGAGACGCTCAGACTTGACTTGTCCATTGGGTCCAGTGCTGGCACCAGGGAACAGAGTAAAGGGAAGTGGGACCTGGACTCGGAGGCCAGTGATCCCTCTGCTCGCTGGAACACACCCAGCTCAGCCGGGCTGCAGCATGACTCTGTGGGATGGTGTGCTGCCCTTCTACCCTCAGCCCCGGCATGCGGCCGGCCTGAGTGTCCCACTACTCATCGTCATTCTCGTTTTCTTGGTCTTGGCCGCCAGCTTCCTGCTCATCTTACCCGGGATTCGTGGCCACTCGGTAAGGGGGTAGTAGAAGCTCTGGTCTGGGGGGCGATGGAGGGCGTCATGGACAGCTTGTCTCTGGAGAACCCAGGACAGGTAGGAGGGTGGCAGGGTCTTTCATGAAAAGTCAGACTGAAGCACACTGAACCAGAGGAACACCAGTAGTTCATCTGAACTAACTGTTCACTGAACCAAAACACCAGGGGGAGCACACCAGTAGTCTGGTCCAGCACGCACCCCTTCACAAGAATAGGGAGGGAGCCTCCGCTGGACATTCAGAGAGGACCCCCAGGTGGAATGTTCAGGAAACTGCTGCAGAGAGTGGGCGTCCAGTCTGGTAATCCTGGGGTCAGTTCAAGACTTCACCTGCTGCAGGGACCTCCTCCTGTCCCCAGGCTGCACCTCCACTCCCTTTCCACCCCCATCCTGACCTCCGGGTGATGACTGTCTGGCTAAGAGGACAGAAAACAGCATCTCAGACTGCTGTGTTTCACCTCTGCTCTTGGTTGTCATGTGCCCCCATCCTAAAGACTTCTGCACAGCAATTTCTTCAAAGTTGTGGTAAACTGGGCACTTTTTCTTAGATTCCCCCCCTCCCAGAACCTTGGTTGTCTGTTTCTCAAGGCTCCCCAGGTCTTGTGTTTGTTTTCTGGGAAACTGGCATGCCTAGTAATATCTGAGATGTAGTGTCCCACCTTCTCCACCTGGTGACCAGACCCTGAGGCCTCCCTCTCCTGAGGGAGGTGACTCCTGCCTGCCTAGCACTTCTGGACTCACTGAGCCTCACCATGGCAGTGAGCCCAGCCGGAGGCAGCACCAAGAGTAGGAACCGGATAGCCAGAGAAGAAAGGTTGTGGGGGTGGTGGGAGAGCATAAGGTAGAGACAGCCCAGCGGCAGGGTGGACTGGGAAATGGGGCTAGGGAGGTAGAAACACACAGCCAGAAAGCATCAGACATGCTAGTGGTTCAGAGGGACTTGCATGACTTGACTTCAGCCTTTAAAGGTTAAGAATGTAACTGGGAAAGAGAGGGAAGTTGCAGAGGCACTAACGGCCAGGGCAGCGTGGGGTCAAGGGAGGTCTGCAGCAATCTGGTTAGGCACTATCCAGACCTGACCCAGTGTGTGTTCCTGCAGCGATGGTTCTGGTTGGTGAGAGTTCTTCTCAGCCTGTTCATAGGAGCAGAAATTGTGGGTGAGTGTGTCATGCAGTGGATGGGGAGAGGACCTGGGGTGAGGAAGGGGGTGGCCAGAGGACCCTTGGGCAAGTGGAGAACTTCGGTTGGGTTCCCACTCCTTCCTATTCTCTTTCTAGTGCCCACGCTTACACTCTTACCGCGTATATGGATTGGGCTCTAGACGCCCCCCCCCCAACTCTGTGCACCATTTCCCACCTCCCATCACCACTCTCCCAATTGCACGTCCTCAATCTTCTCCCTGACCTTTCCCCGCCCCTACCTTGTGCGGCTCCCAACAGCGGCGCACTTCAGCGCAGAATGGTCAGTCGGCAGCGTTAGCACCAAAACATCCTACAAGGCCTTCAGTGTGGAACTCGTCCGAGCCCACGTCGGTCTGCATGTGGGCCTGGAGGGCGTTAATATCACACTCACAGGTGAGGAGGCTGCGGCTACGTGAGCTCCTGGGGTTGGCAGACAGACACCATGGGTAGGGGAGGGTAGCAGGTGCCGCTGGGGGACCTGTGAGGACAGATCCCACAAGTTTAAATAGCTTCTGGCTCTCACTGATCTGTGTTTTCCTCAACCGCTGCCAAACCCACTTCTCTCTCTCGGAGTCTCACTTTCCCAACTGAACCCGCTTAGTCTCCGGGTCCTAGCTGTACGCAGCCCGGTGACCTCGCCGCCATCCGCAGGGACCCCAGTGCAGCAGCTAAACGAGACCATCGACTACAACGAGCAGTTCATCTGGCGGGTGGGCCAAAACTACGCCGGGGCGTACGCGGAGGCCCTGGAGAAGGGGCTGCCGTACCCGGTTCTCTATCTGGCGGAGAAGTTCACTCCGAGCAGCCCCTGCGGCGTTTACCGCCAATACCGCCTGGCGGGACACTACGCCTCGGCCACTCTATGGTGAGAGGACACTCTGCGTACTTGCGCGCGCTCGATCTCTCTCTCGCGCGTTTGTGTGTGTGTGTATGTGGCAGGGGCGGGGGCGGGGGTGGGGTGGGGGCGCGTGAGCCGGAGGATGTGAGTTCCCGCTGCAGCCCGACGCGCTTGGGGTGAGAATCGCAGCCTCGGGGCAGATGGTGACGAGGTCGGTACCGGCCGCGGGAATCCGAAGAGAACCAGAAACGGCTGGGCGTCGGCTTCCCTCCTCCCGTATTTCTCTGCGCCTCTGCCATCCCAGCCCCAGACTTCGGTTCTTGGTTGGGATGCAGAGCCAGCGAGCCCGCGGGAAGCCGAGCGTGCTGGGGGACCCGGCTCACAGCGCCGCCGCCCCCTCCTCGCAGGGTGGCCTTCTGCTTCTGGCTCCTCTCCAACATGCTGCTCTCTATGCCGGTTCCACACTACGGAGGCCTGGCTCTCCTCATCACCGGCGCCTTCGCGCTCTTCTCGGTGTTCGCCTTCGCCTCTATCTCCAGCGTGCCTCTCTGCCAGCTCCGCCTCGGCTCCTCCGAGCTCACCACTCACTATGGCGCAGCCTTTTGGATCACGCTGGCCACTGGTGAGGACCGAGGGAACACGCCCCCGGTGGCTGGGAGCGGGGACGGGATTTATACCAGTGTGCGCTTTCCAGTTTGCAGAGTGAGTTCACATAAATTATCTGATCTGTCCCGCTCAATAGTTCGTAGACGCTGGCACTGTTACACCTATTTTGCAGATGAGGGGCACCGAGTTCGGAAGGGTTCCTTCAGTATCTTACCCCACTGAGCATGAGAATCCGCGTATCATGTATTCCATACTAGAGATCTTTCTGCGCGCGCGCGCTTGTGTGTGTGTGTGTGTGTGTGTGTGTGTGTGTGTGTGTGTGTGTCTGGGGAGGAAGTGCAGATACCTCTCATAGATGGAGATGGGGAGGCCGGGCTCTGAAGCCCTGACAGCCCCCTTTACCCACCCCCAACCCCGCCCTGACTGTGCTGTCGCAGGCGTCCTATGCCTCCTCCTCGGAGCCGCGGTGTTGAGTCTTCACTACGCTCGGCCCAGCGCTCTTCGCCTCTTCTTGGAAGGAAGCGTCAAGGACCTCGAAAGTCCGACGAAGGAGAGCTCGCCTCTCATCCTCAGCAACCCACTGCATAAGCAGTTCAGGGCCTCGGACTTGACCATCAGTACTAACCTGTGAAAGGACTCAACGTCGGACTCCTACTCTGCCTTGGTCCGCGCAGGCCGGGGTGCGGTGCCCGCCGAGCGGAGGAGCTCCAGGAGCGCCGTGGGAGAGGCCGGTGGCCTCAGATGTGACCCCCCGCTTCGGGGAGAGTCTCCCAGGGTGAGCTGGAAATAAATTCTTTCTGTTTTTGTTTTCTAGAAACTCCTTCATTACCTTACCCGGCTTTTCAAGGCTTTCCGGGCATACCATACTTCCCTAGGTTGGAGGTAGTCTAGTACACTCTTTCTCAGCATTGCCACTCACGCTGGGTTCTGTCTGTTTGAAAAATGCAGAGAAACCCGGGAGAGGGTGCCCTCTAGTGAGTCCAGGGAAGAACCAACCAAAGCCAGCATCCTCCTGAGCTGCCCCGAGGGGATGGTAGCAGTGACCAGACAGGTCTTCCCAGCTCCCCACTCTTGCCACTGGCCCCCCTGGGATCCCTCTCTGCTGAGTGGGCTCGGAAGAAATATTATTTTGGAGTTTATTCACTATTTTAGTTTATTTATTCATCAAAGGAGTGGTGTCTGAGGGCCAAGCTATATCAGCAAGGCATAAAGATGTAAACCCTGGGAATTTTTTAAGGTCCTTGGCAAATCCTACAATCTTATTTGGCAAATTTAGAACAGAGGCTCAGAGAGAATGCAGCACACTCAGTTAATATTAGACCTGAGACAAGAAGTTTGGTCTCTTCTCCCTTGCAGTACTTTCATTGTATTAGTGAAATCACACCAGCTGGGGCAGTAAAAGAGGAACAAAAGGGACCCAGGAAACAGGAAATCAAAGACATGCAGAAGGATAAGAGGGACCACAGGAGAATCACACTGTAACCCCGCACACACACATGTCGTTATGTGGGTGAAGCCGGGTCTCAGTAAACGCCACCTGAGGCAAAGCTCCAGGGGAGAGCAGGGTTGCTGGGCAGAAACAGGTAATATCTGCTTGGTCTGGTTTATGGGCAGCCTCAATGTCTGCCTTAGGGCTTTATGTTTTGTTCCACTTTTACATCAATAGATAGAGCTTCTTTCCCTATTCCACTTTCAGATTGGGGCCGGAAACTGATACAACCCAGCCTGTTGGCAGTTTTGGTGGTTTTGGGGGGCGGTTCCAGAAAAGTCTGGAGCCATGTTGGAAGTCCAGGTGCCACCAGGGAAAGGAACGGTTACGGTTACAGGGCACAGTCAGGCTCCTCGCAGGGGGCCTCGGAGGAAGCCTCTGACAGAGCGATGTCCTGGGGCTCGGGACTCTCAGTGATGGACCGGTAGCGAGGGCTCAGGAGTCCCCCTTCCTCGGGATTCAACTCCAGCACAGGGTCCTCCCCCACACTCTGGCTGAAGAAAGCCTTCAGCCTGTGGGGCTGCATCCTGTGAGCCACCACCATGGCCAGACCCAGCAGCACACACAGCAGTCCTGGTGATGAAGCAACAAGTATCCCACCTCAGTGATCGGAACACGCTCCCAAGGACATCTTTTCCTAAGAGCATTAGGCCCCTCCTGAGGGAGGCCTAGTGTCTCTGCTTCAGGGCAACTTGTGCTCCACAGGATGATCAGTATCAGATCATATGGCTGTTATGGGTCTGTTGTCCTGAGTTTTTGGACTCTAAACCCAGTGTTTCTTCAGTTACATCCCAGGGTAGAGAGAGAAAACTCTGAAAACCAAGAAGCACTGGGAGGAGGGCAGGACACACAGGAGGAGGCATAGGAAATGGCTTAAGGGGGCAGACACAGTAGGATAGGAGAAGACAAGAAAACTGCAGGGCAATTGAAGACTCTGTGAGACAGGGACAGAGGAGTGTTCTAGGAATGGGGGACACAGGGGAAAGTGTTTTGGGGAAGAGGGAGGGGTCATGAGGTCAGAAGATTTAGGGAAGAGCTGGGTGGAGAGAGAGTTAGGGGATAAGGGGTATGACAAAGACAGATACATACAAATACAAGGAAGGGAAGCCTGGGGATAAGGAATCTTAGGGGAGGGGGCTCTAAAGAGGGGAAAGGCATCCTTCGTCCTCAGAGACAGACCCTCAACCCCATGGATCTTCTGGGCCCTGGCCCTGAGTCCCCCACTGCCTGTCCCAAGGCTGGGCCTCACCTGTGGTCAACGTGATCCAGTAGGCAGGCCCACGGTGAGTGTGCAGTGTGGCGGCACCCAGGCGCAGGGGACAGGGCGGGGTGAGGGATGTGGCCGTGGAGAAGAAGAGCAGTCCCAACAGCTGGAAAAGGCCCGTGGCCAGCAGCATGTGGCCACCGTAGACCAGCACAGGCATGGACAGCATCACATTGGCCAGCAGCCAGCAGAGGAATGCCACCCTGGAGAGCCAGCACCTGGTGAAGGCTGGTACCTCTGCCTCATTTGGGGCAAACTTCTACCTGGAGGGGCTGAGGTGGAGGCTCAGGGACCCAAGGATACCCCAAAGAGGTGAAGTGGGGATTCCTGCCTGTGGGCTTCCCAACCAAGTACTGTGGTCACCGGCACCAGACTGTCTCACTAGGGATCTCCACATGAGCAGAGGAGAGATGGGTGGAAGCCCCATTACTGAGTCTAGGCCAGCAGGGCCTCTGGCCATGCTCACCACAGCATAGCCGAGGTGTAGTGTCCCGCCAGGCGGTACTGGCCATGCAGGCCACAGGGGCTCTGTGGGGTGAACTTCTCAGCCAGGTAGAGCAGGGGGTCTGGCAGCCCCTTCTCCAGTGCATTGGCATACTCCTCAGCGTAGTTCTCCCCCAGGCGCCAGGTGAACTCCTCGTTGTAAGCAATGGTCTCGTTCAGCTGCTGCACTGGGGTCCCTGGGGAAGAGGGCAGCTATGCTCAGCAGGGACCCAAGGGCCAGAGTGGAGATGTACCTGGGCAGAAGCTTATCATGCTGGACAGAGGGCCAGGCTCTGGTCTCCAGTGAGAGAAATCAGTTTCCAAGGCCTGAGAATTTCCCTTCCTACCACCCCGCATACTATCGCTCTTCAGACCACTCTGAGCATAGCTCCCAAAGACACAGAACCATGCCTTGCCATCCCACACAGGTAAAAGCCCTCCCTCACAGATAAAAGCCCTCCCTCACCTGTGAGTGTGATGTTGACGCCTCCCAGCCCAATCTGCAGCCCAACGTTGGCACTGATCCACTGGGAACTGAAGGCCTTGTAGGACGTGTTGGTGCTCACCTGGCCCACAGACCACTCAGAACTGAAGTTCACGGCTGGGTTGGGGAGTTAGATATACAAGAACTCAGGGAGGCCTGGGCATTGCTGGGTTAGAGCCAGAGGGGAAGCACCGAGGGGACCGACCATGTCTGTTTTGCTCATAATTGTGTATCCATTAACCAGCGTGAGGCCTGGCTCATAGTAAGTTTGCCAGCAACATGTATGACATGAATAAATGGGGGTGGGGTGGGATTTCTCTGGTGGCACAGTGATAAAGAAGCTGCCTACCAATGCAGGAGATACAAGTTCAATCACTGGTCCAAGAAGATCCCATGTGCCTCAGAGCAACTAAGCCCATGCGCCACAACTACTGAGCCTGTGCTCTTCAACAAGAGAAGCCACTGCAATCAAAAGCCCATGCACTGCAACTAGAGAGTAGCCCCTGCTCGCCGCAACTAAAAAAGTCCATGCAGCAATGAAGATCCAGCACAGCCTCAAATAAAAATTTTTTTAAATTAATAAAAGGGTCAGAATCCAATATCTCCCTCCTCTGGTTATACTCCTCTTACCCCTCCCCTTACTTCCCCCTATTTAGGGGGAGCTACTCAAGCAGCTGGGGGAGGAAACACTAACATAATAAATGGTTCTGGGCAAACACAGGGAGCTTCAACACAGATATTTTCTATGTTTCCTGTTGCCTAATCCCCAAAGCGAAGCAAGCAGCCCTCCACCATTCTTTCCCTCCAGCCTCCAGAGACCCTCTCCCCACAGGCATTCATTTGACCTGCTTTCCGCTGAATAAAAATGTTCAGAAGGTTGAAGAGACACATGGAGGAGGCTTGCACCTCTCAGGGAAAGGGCAGATGTGAGGGAATAAGTCCAGGGTGAAGGAGATGTGGGCAGGGAGGTCTAAAAGTCTACCCTGAAGCAAAGGCTGCTGTGGGGACACCCCAATGGGAGAAACAGGATGGAGAAGCTGCCCAAGTCAGCTGCCCTTCACACTCACCGAGGATCACAGCTCCAATGAATAAGCTGGTCACTACCCGCAGCATCCAGAACAGCCTCTGTGTCACAGGGCGGGAGTGGTGGCTCACGATGCCGCACCCTCCTTCCAAATCCACCCCTTCTCTTTCCAGACTTGGGGAGGGTGCTTGCTCTAAAGCTGAGGTCACTCAGTCAACTGGGATCAAAGTGCCTGGCCCAGAACAGGTACTCAGTAATTATCTGTCAGGGAGTGGGGAGCTCTCTGCTGGGAGGGTGGCTGATGTTTTCTCAGGACTAGACTCTCCTGAATCTGATTGTAACCGGAGAGTCTGGACCCCTCCTTTCAAGGTCAAGGTCTCTCTGGGGCTGGGGTCTGCAGGGTTTGTTTTGTTTCTCACCATCTTGCCCCGAATGCCTGGCAGGATGATGAGGAAGGTGACCAGTGAAGTCAGAAAGATGGCGACGATGACGGCCAATGTGGTGTCCGTTGGGAAGGTCGGCTTGGGCCCAGCGTAGAAGGGGAATGTGTGTCCAAAAGCAGCCATTTTGGGTTTTTCGGGGGAGGCGTAGGCTCTACAACAACGATAGGTGTTCACTGAGTGCCCTGTCTGTGCCAGGCACTGCTCTTGGTGCTGGAGATGCAGCAGAGAGTACACCAGATCCCTCTTCTCTGGCGCTCACCAGACGCCACGGTTACCGCCATTCCACTATCCCTCAGCGATCCTTAGCTGTGAGAGAATAAAGGTCTCGGCAATCAGTCTCTGTCACCCCATGCTCCCTTCCTAATCCCCAGGTCCCCTAAATCAGTGCCACCGCTACCCTCAAGGCTTCGCTGCTTCCTCTGGGACTGTCTTAAGAAATATAATTCTCTTTTATCTCCCTCAGACCTCCAGCACAAGCAGACAGATCACAGAACATAAAAAGAGCTGTATTTACTGTCAAGGTAAGGCATAAGGCTGAAAGATGGCACAGATTACAAAAAGGTTGGCTTTCCTCCTCAGTCCC